ATACTTGATCCACGTACTGCCACATTCCGTTATCTGAATTGCCCAAGAGCCTGGTCATTGTGATACATCTCAGAACATATATTTAAAGCCTTTAATATTTCCATTGCATATGTCACTGTAAAAGGTGTTTTTTTCCCTGGCCTCTTGCCCCAGACCATGCTACATGGCAACTAACCGATCAAAACTTGATGAGCCTTGGTAACTAGACCTTAGTGTGAGCTCAGTCATTGGTTCACTGACCTGTATTACACAGTATCTCATTTGGCAGTGAATTAAGAATAGAGCAGACACATCATCAGCAGATTTTCCTGAGTGCAGACTTCTCTTGGTACTAACTTCCAAAGTCCAAGGGCGCTTCAATCTAGCTGTCTAAACCTGATCTGTCAGTGCAGTATAACCAACTTATAAATTGGTTTAAATATGATAAATGAATTCACCTTTCTACATTAAAAAAGTAACATTTTGGCAACCGTTCTAAACTTCTCAGTAACTTATAAATAAAGAACTTGAATAATACAGCCAAACATTTAAGAGGGCTAAAAAAAATGATATTAAAGAACAATCAGCTGTTATGATTACATTTGCAATAATACATGTAAATAATGCTTTGTCAGCTAGAACAAAATTGATGCATGCATCTTTGCTTTTACACTCCCTTTGGTTTCATCCAAATTGTTGAGATACTAATTTGAAAAGTGCTTATTTACAAGATTTTGCTGTCAGCTTTCCATGGTGAACCTTGACTACAGTATTTCTTTTCTTTTTTTCTTTTCTTTTTTTAATTTTTAACCTTTCCATATTTCCCATTATCAACATGTTTCAGGAGAGCAAAGCATCAAAATTGGGGACTTTCGTAAAAGCCATGGGTCCTAGTTCATTTAGAATCTTGCTGGCACATGATGGTTAGCTCAGAGCAAATTTGTATGTCAGCATATTGTAAAGAAACATGATTATATTTTGATAGCTCAGATATAACTGCAGACTTTGCTCTCAACACAGTCTAAAATTAAACTTTAAGAATGTATGTTTTATATTTATAATATACTCTGTGAAAAATATGTGTATTTAATACAGATTTCTGTCTTTTCTGCTTGTTAGCATGCCAACCTTCTGTCTTGAGAAGATTGCTCAAAATTTTTAAACATCTCAGATTACTCTGAATTGCTTGTTTCTCATAGCAAAATTATGTTTTGAAGCTTTCTTACAGTTATCAGTTAGGAAAAGTTTGATGAAAAGTTTATAACTGGAAAAGCTTTGTCAATTTGCTATTTAAAAAAAGAATTTTGCACCATGTCATCCAAGCTTATATCCAGCATGACAATCAGTTCATATCTAGCAAGACTATGACTTCAGCATTTTTTACTCGAAGAGCGGCAAGTTCATTCTACTTAGTTCAATATCTCTCCAGTTGGCTTAAAATTGCTAGTGTTTGTTCTTACCACACCAATAATGCACAATTGCATTCTACTGTCCTGTAGGTTAACAAAAGTCTTAAAATTGTCCTGTATCCTAGAACATATACATTTAACCAAATAAAGTAATCTGCAGGTGAAATATTTTTACCATATAGAATTTGAATCATTTGAACACAGAGCAAACAAGACACCTGACTTGTTCAAAATACAAACACCCTTTTAAGAGAACTACATGAAATGAAACATAAAGACAATGGAATAGCAAATATAAGTTGTCTATGCATTTCACATCCTTTGTTTATTTTTTATTTAAAAATATCCATTGTATTTTGCCTGCTTGCAGAATGATACATTAATCATTTAAAAGAGTCTCTTAAGCAGTCCTTAATTTCCCTATAGTCAGTGTGTTGCCAGAGCTATTTACAGCTACAAGAGTGTGATTCAGAAAACTGGAGCTGAAGTGCTTCTCTCCTGTGACTCAACTAATAAAATTTATCAGAACACTGAAGATTTCATGTTTCCTTTTTTACTCTCTCCTCTAAACATTGTAATAGGCCCAACCTTCTAATTCCATCCAATTTTAACTTTTCTAAAGTTAAGAATCATTCAGAACTGGAGCTCTGATACATTTGAACATTATAATGGTTCACTATATATTTTAGTAGATTTAATTTATAGTTGGAAAATGTCTCCTAATGCCTCTTATTAGCTCTAGAACTTTGTGTAATTTTCACATGATTATTTTGATTATGTGGATGCTTCTCCACATCTCCAAAATGCACCCACAGTTTGGTATAATTGATTCTCTCTGCTAAATCAAGGCAAAAAGTTGTTGAGTCAGGATTAAGGAGCATTATATTCTGCACAGTTGTAAAAGGAAGCTTGCACCTTTCTTGTTTACATGAAGTCTGGCTCTTAACTTGGAGCCATTATTCTCTAATACGCTACAAATGCCAGACACTATTAAAGCTTGGAGAGGGCTCATTTTAAATTAATTGAAACTAAGTTATTCAGAGCTTTCCATTTTATTCGATGACCAAATGCTGACCTCAGTTACACCACTTCAGCTGCACTGAATATGGTCCTAAATGAAATATCCGTGATTGTATATTAGCAATGTTCAAAAAGGAGAATTGGTGACATTGAAAAATACATATTCTGTATGTTATATTGTTATTGCTATAAAATCTCATCTCCATGCAGACTTTTTCTAATAACAGAAGTTTGATGTTAAAGTTACAGGGTTTAGTCTAAGTTAAAGATATCCAAAAGAGCCAGTCAGCAAACTTGTAATCGCAGATGTGCCAGAAAATTTCAGTGAACAGAACAATGTCTTTTTATTTCTGATATTAACAATCAAAGTTTCTTTTCTTTTCTGTTTAAAAGCTGTTTTTCTGACATTTTTTTCATATCTACTAGGTGCTTAGTCTATTTCAAGTAGTGATATTTGAGCACTGGAGCAGCCTCCTTTTCAGGGTCTCAACCACTCTTTTTTTCATACGATACTGCCTTAGGCCAGGGGTGGGCAAAACCAGCTCCAGCCCCTGAAATATTTTAATCTGGACCACCATGGCACAGTGGAACTCTCAGGCAGGCTCCCTGGCTGTTGCAACTCTACACACCACTCAAAGCAGCCAGGTGCTGGGTGGCACAGCGTGGTGCACACTTTGGGGAGAGGGGAGTCTCCATGCGCTGCCCCCATCCCCAGCACAGTCCTCACAGCTCCCTTTGGCCAGAAACCAGCCAATTGGAGCTGCAGAAGCAGTGCTTGCAGATGTGTCCAGTGCACGGAAACCCTTCCCCTCAAGGGACGCAGAGAGACAGACACTGGGCTCCACAGCTGGATACTTTGAACAACATGTGTGACCGCAATGGACAGGGAACCTGTTCGAAAGTCCAGCTGAGGGCCGCCTATGGCAAGTGCCTCCTGGTCACAGCCTGCACATGGCACTCTACCCCATCTCACACCCCAGCTCCCTTCCCTAAGTCAAAACCTCCTCCTGCACCTCCTTTGCATCCTCCCTCGGCACTCCTGCTCCAGGTCACAATCCTCTCCTGCATCCAAACTCCCTCCCAGTCCTTACACTCCTCCCTCAGGTCAGAATCCTCTCCTGTACTCAGAACCCTTCCCAGACCTTGCATCCCAGTCCCCTGTGCCAGATCCTAACTCCCTCTCAGACCCTACATCCCCTCCTGCACCCAATCCTCTACCCCAAGTTCCCTTCTGCACCCAGCCTCCATCCCAAAACTCACATCCCCATCATAGAAAAGTTCAGCCCATGACCACTTTCCAAATTTTTGGAGTGCTCCCCACATTGGAAATTGTCCACCCCTACCTTAGGGGCATTGCATATTTACCTACATATATATACAAGTCTAACAATGTGGGACTAATCCAATAACTGATTTTGAAAACGAATCTGCACGTCACCTAACTTGACCCTCTGATCAATTACTGTTAGTGGAAAGTCTTGAAGATGAATGGTTCTTGTTCAGCTCACTTGCAATGTTAAGCAGCTCCAATGACTGCAGGATGAGTGCTGCTCATCCTGCTCTTGACCTTTATTCCAGAGACACGTGACATGTACGGATTTTATTTGAGCCCTGCTATGGGTGTGGATTATTTTTCACTTTGCAACTTTATAACATTTAGCACAAATTCCTACTGTAATTACGACATGACATTAATGTTAAAAAGACTCCAACACTGGATGTTCCACTGGGGTAAAACAAATGGAAGTTAAAATGGGGAGACTGGATATAAAAATTGCTGATTTTTGTACAATAATGCCAAATTTGAACATGGAAAATGTTACTGTACTTTAGCCCTAGTTATCTTAGTTCTCCCACTGTGTTATTGATGGTGACTCAAACCCTTGGTGAACTAATTAAGATTGTATACTCTGTTACCAACAGCAGGGAAAGACCCCTTTCAGCAGTTAGTCAACAGATACTGTATAACACACAAAATAATAGATATGTATTGTCTTGATTCTATATGTTTAGGCTACCAGCATTGAGTTATAATGGTCCTTTAATGTAAATAATGGGGACTTGAATTTTACACAGCCCATTTGCTGGAGAAAAGAACAAGGGAATCATTAATTTTTGGAGAGTGTTTTTGCCAGAAAGAGACAGGTTATAAATCTGGTAATATACATAGAAAAGTGGCAGCTATTTCAAATGTCCTAGCCAGGCATATTCAGCATAAAAGAACTGAATATAGTTAAATATAATTATGTTACGATTTCATGCTCTGCAATTCAAGTTACCAGCTATGTTTTATCAGTTAATGGTCTTTATGAAAACTTGTCAATATATTAATGTTTACACAGACATGAGCAAATACATACAATTTAGCAAAAATATCTTATTCCCATCTTGATTATATTTCATTAGGTTTCTGAATCACCATTAGCAGTTTGTATGGATTTGAAATAGTTTCATGCTAAAATGTATACTCTACCTACTTCTTTGTTTTTAAAGAAATGAAGGGCACTGGATAGGCTTCTTCTGTTATTCTGAATGCTTTATTTAAAAATATCTAGAAATAGTTAAGTCAGCTGTATTTTCCTTTTCTCTAAGGGGTCGCCTGGCCTGATATGCACCGTCTGGCAGACAGAGTCCATCTGGAGGAGCTGACTGAAATTGGCATCCTGAAAGGCAATGTCGATGACATGGTGAAGGTTCATCTGGGTGCAATATTTATGCCACATGGACTTGGACATCTACTTGGAATTGATGTGCATGATGTTGGAGGCTACCCAAAGGTTAGTATTAGTGAATTCCTGATTGCTTTTCAGATTAACCCTTGTAATTTAAATAGGCATTTATTTTAGTTTCACTGTCAATAATGTCTTCTCTGAGTAGAAATTGGTGTGCAATGAAGTTTTTCTTTGCTGGTAAGATATTTCATGTGGTTTTCTTGAAATGAAATAATATGTGAAATGCTCTTTTGAATACCTATTGATGCTGCCTGCAGGACTTCTTAGTGTTCCTAATGCTCCTGCAAATAAGATGCAAGAATGTGTTTTATTTTCAGTTCTTTCGTTTGTTGCATGTATTTATATAACAGCAGCACCCGCAGTATGCTCATGAAGAACGTGTTCCCTGCCTCAGAGAGTTTATGATCTAAAAAGACCAAAAAAATTGAAGGATGAGAAAAAGGATTATAACTTTGAACCAAGGTGATCAGGGTAACAGTTGACACACAGCTTGGTGCCAAGTTATGTTAAAATTTAGTTTGCCAGAGACATTTGTTAAGGTAGAAAAGGAAGAAATTGTTGGAGTAAGAAAAGAGGATGGGTACAGAAACTGCATGGATAGGAGGTGGAAATGGAGATGGAGGGAGTAAAAGCAATAGACAGAGTAGATTGAAAAGGTGGGAGAAGCATCATCTTTTACTGGTGAGAGAATTATTGGGCAGGGGGTTGCTGCCATTGTAGAGAGGGGTATGATAAAGATGTGAATAACAGCCAATGGCAATGCAACAGTGTGACCTATTAAGACCTCTGATTTTTTTCACTGGAAAATTAAAAATGTACTCTGAAGCAATCACCACACTGCGTCTTGTGAAGTCCCATATCACACAATATCCCTGTTTCCCTTCATTTCCAACAATAATAGCTAATACCTCTGGCATCAGCCTGCAACTGTATTATGCTCTGAGCAATTTTAGAGGGATTTGCAGATATATGCATTTGAGAATATGCAACATTTCAAACAAAATGAAAATCTTTCCGCTCATTTTGCCTAGGAGTATATTCAGATCATCACTCCCAGCCTTGACATCATCATATATTCACAGGCTGTAATGTATCACTCAGTGTATTGGTTAGCAGTGACTGTAGAAAGAACAGGCCTTGCTAGGCCTCTCCACAGCTATTGCAATCTTTACAAACCTAAAAGTGTGACGGTTGTGTCCACAATACACAAGTTGCAGAGGGAGTCTATTGTAGCAATCTAATTGCTATTAAAATGCTTTTATCTGCCTTTTACTACTACTGTATTTTTAAACAAAATCGTATGACTTATACATTTGTTTTTCCCTTTGTTTCGGTTTTATAGTACATATTTTTCTAAAAAAGAAAAAATTTAAAAGTGAAGGTACATGGTTACTGTGAGAATCAGCTTGAATGGGACTCTTGCTTCAGTTCTTTGTCCACAACTGCTGCTACTGCATAAGCTGAACATAAAACTTTGGTGTGAATGTACATACATTCCTATGCAGAAAGAATTGCTTTTTTTTTTCCAATCACTGTTTGATGTTTACATGTAACCATATTCTGGACACGAAGCTGAAGTACACTGAAAAATTTTCTTTATCATGAACAAGAAGGATATAAAGCTTCTCTAATACTTAAAAGATCAGTGGCAAATATCTGAAAGCATGGCTGAGACAATAATGAAGAATAATAAAAGAAAAAACCATGATGAAATACACAAGGCTAATTAAGTAACAACTAAATAATGATGTAATGTGTGTGCCAATGCAAAGTCTGACTAAGGCCTGATCGATGAAAATAAATTAGGTCAGTATAACTACATCACTCAGGTGTGAAAAATCAATACAGGGAGAGGTGCAATTAAATCAAACTTAACCCCCTTGTGTAAGCAGTGTTAGGTTGACAGGAGAATTCTTCCCATGACCTTGTTGCTGCCTCAAGGGCTGTGTCCAGACTCAGGGTTTTTTTCGAAAAAAGTAGCCTTTTTTTGAAAAAACTTCCCCTGCGTCCAGACTCAAGCCGCGTTCTTTCGAAATTAATTCGAAAGAACGCGGCTTTTCTTTCGATGGCAGTAAACCTCAATTTACGAGGAAGAACGCCTTCTTTCAAAAGTTCCTCTTTCGAAAGAAGGCGTTCTTCAATGTAAATAGGGCTTCTTCAAAAGAGAGCATCCAGACTCACTGGATGCTTTCTTTCGAAAAAGCAAGCCGCTTTTTCGAAATTTCTCCGTGCAGTCTAGACGCTCTCTTTCGAAAGAGGCTCTTTCGAAAGATGCTTTCGAAAGAGGCTTGCAGTCTAGACATAGCCAAGGAGATAGAGTACCTATGCCAGTGGGTGAACTCCTCCTACCAGTGTAGGTCGTATTTTCACTGAAGTGCAACACAGCTTTAGTGAGATGAAGCTACATTCTCTGAGTGCTGTGTGAATTTGACAGTAGACAAGTACTTAGGATCCTGACCTCACTCAATGTAGTCAAACCACGGAACTTGTTGCTGGGAGACATAGTGAAAACCAAAACTATAACGGAGGTAAAAAAAATAGATAAGTTCATAGAGTACAGGCAGTCCCCAACTTACGTGGATCCGACTTATGTCGGATCCGCAGTTACGAACGCGGCTTTTCTCGCCCCGGAGGATACGGACTGCGGGACCTCGCGGTCCCGCCACCCGTGTACTCCGGGGCGAGAAAAGCTGCTCCGTGTCTCCCTGGTCTCCCTGATATTTAAATCCCCCGTGGCATTTGCAATTCCGACTGGTCTCATTAGCATCCCTTTTCCAGAAAAAGGTGCCAATGTAGACACAGCCTTAAAGTGTGTAGCATATACCTGTATGGGAGTCAGGCCATGGGAGCTGGTATAGAATGGAACAAGTAATACGAACACTTTTACTCCAATTCTCTCTTCTCCTTTAGGGCATTATGTTCCCCCAAGAGAGTATGTAAATAACAGACCCATTTCTCCTGGTCCTTAAACAGACTACTCAGAGAGGGGTAAGGATGGTCCAGCAATTAGTGTGTTAGCTTGTGTCAGCTGATGGCCAGGGTAGTGTGTGTGATATGTGAGCCCGCCACGCTACTGGACCAAGCCAGCAGCACCCGAGCTGCTCTGCCCCAGGCGTCCCAAAGTCAGCCGCTGCCGAAACTGACCAGCAGCTGACTACAGGAAGCCCGAGGCAGAGTTGCTCGGGGACGCCTGGGTTTCTTAAGTTGAATCTGTATGTAAGTCAGAACTGGCGTCCAGATTCAGCCGCGGTTGAAATTGATCAGTTTCAGCAGCGGCTGACGCCAGTTCCGACTTACATACAGATTCAACTTAAGAACAAACCTACAGTCCCTATCTTGTACGTAACCCGGGGACTGCCTGTATTTGTCCATCAGTGACTGTGAGCCAAGATGGTCAGGGACACAACCCTTAACTCTGGGGCTGTGACTACATTGGCATGACTCTACACTGGCGGGGAGTTCTTGAGCAAGAAAACTGACGTTCTAATGTGTGAAATCAGTGCTTCTTGCGCAAGAACTATGATGCTTCCACTCAGGAATAAGCCCTCGTGCGCAACTGTTCTTGCGCAAGAGGCCAGTGTAGACAGGCAACATCAATTTCTTGCGCAAGAAAGCCCGATGGCTAAAATGGCCATCGGCGCTTTCTTGCACAAGAGAGCATCTATACTGGCATGGATGCTCTTGCGCAAAAGCACGTCTCTTGCACAAAGGCACATGCCAGTGTAGACGCTCTCTTGCATAAATACTTCAACGCTAGAACTCTTGCGTTAAAGAGTATTTGCGCAAGATCATGCCAATGTAGACGTAGTCTGGGTGTCATTAGCCTCTAACAAAACCTGTGAGTGGACAAAAGGGATGGATCACTCAATAATTGCCCTATTCTGATCATTCCTTCTGAAGCAACTGGTATCATCCATATTTGGGAAATGATGTTGGGCTAGATAGACCATTGGTCTGACCTAGGATGACAGTTCTTATGCTTCGTATACGTATGAACATACTTAACTTTTAAGTATGTGAACAGGACAGGTGAGAAAAATCAATAAAGTAAGATATTTTCTGAACTTTTAAAATTCACTTTCAGGGTATATATTTTCTAAGGCCAGATCCTTATGTACAGAGGGAAAATCAAGAGTCATTTTTCTATTTAATATAAAACAACAGATTTTTCTGATCCATCACAGATCTTTTATTAGAAATCAGTAGTTGTCCCAGGTATGCTTTAATAAAGATAAGATGCAATGGATTTGATTTAATTAGATTGGAACTTTATTCACTTAGAATATCTGGGAATAGCCAGCAATATATTGTATCGAGCAAGTCGTCATTAGTTCCTTAATTGTTCTAGAGCTGCTGCTAGAAATCCGGTCCCAGCAAGTTGCTGGGCCCCCTCACATGAGGATGAATGTGGTTGAAAAAAGGAGAAAGAGTTGGCTCCCATCTGCACCAGTTTTTAGGAGCCCTCAACCCCCACTTCTCCAGCTTCTTTAGGGTTGTTTTCTTCTAAATCCCCTTCTAAACCCATTTTATCTGAGAACCACATCCCCTTTGCAAGAAGTACCTCAACTAGACATCTTCTGCAAGTAGTGTCCTCTACCTGATCCAACAACTTCCTATTGCTTCCTGCTGTCCAGCACCACCTCCATTTGCAGAAGGGGTCTCACATAAGGGCAAACAGCCCCTTTTATTTCAACCAGCAGGACACAGATCCACCATATTCATTTGCATTGAGCCAGTTTCTATAAATGCTCATATAGCCTACAGAGCAGGGATATGAACGACTAGTCGACTGTCCAAATCGACTAGTCGATTAGTCACTTCCCACACACACCCCTTGCTGCCTCTATCAAAAAGAGGCAGCAAGAGGTGGAGAAGAGGAAGGGTGCTTCAAAGCAGCAGTGCCACATGGAGCCCAGGGCCACACCCCGAGTTCCACGCAGTGCTGCTGCTTTGAAAAGTCGCGTGCAGCCCAGAACCAGCTGGAGAGTTCCCAGCTGGCCCTGGACTGCACATAGCATTTCAAAGTGGCAGCACCGCATGGAACC